TACAATCAATTCCAAATCTACACAAAGTCCTAACTTCTATTTTACAGAAATGCACAAGATACTTTTATTGATTTTGCAGTATAAAACTTAAAGTTAGATTGATAGAAATTCACTATTAAAAATAATAAAGAATATGCATCGCCCTTTTAAGAGAAGGAAGTTCTAGCTGACATCTTTGATTTAGTATAAAATGTAGATACAAAAATCTTTTGTGTCATAGTCGAAATATTTAGAAAGGAGAAATTTATAGAGATATCTTTCTTATAATGTAAATCAAAAACATTTGGAGTTTCAATAAGTTAGATTATTCTAGTGAAGAAAATTAAGAATAGATAAAAGATCTCATTAATAGAATCCAGGATAAGAGAAGGATCATAGAATTTCTGTAATTTTTAGTTTACCTTACATCTATGGATAACACTTTGATATAATGTGGATCTAATTCACTACATACCTTAGATTAGTTTAGATGAAGGTCGAATTTAGTAATAACAATATTAAAACATTAAGATATAAAATGTTTCTTTCGTAAGAGCTAATTTTGTTAGGTGTAATTTTAGTGAGTCTTAATTTAATACTGACAACATAAGTGGAACAAATCTTAATGGAGTATTATTGTTTAATTGTAAATGTAACAACTTAAGAATTTAAGGATCAAGTAAATTAAATATTCATACTAGTTTTGTTTACTCAGTCTGTTTCTCACATGACGGAAATACATTAGATTCTGGTAGTGATGATAACTCTATCTATGTATGGGATGTCAAAACAGGATAATAAAAAGCCTAATTAGATGGTAATACTAATCGAATTTTGTATGTCTGTATATCTCCTGATGCAATTTATTAATTTTCTAAATGGCAAAGCAATCTACTTTAGATTAAACAGATAAAGATAATCATGATCAAATAGAATAATACTTTTTATAACTATCATTTTTCATGATGTGGTTAAGATGGTTTTAAAAATACCAGTCTAAGTTTGTCCAAAAAGGCAATTTATAAGCTTTTCACCAAGTTCATCAAATATAGAGCCATACTTCTAAAGTAAATAAATTAAATTATGTAATTTATAATACTTTTATAAACCTTAATTCTTAAATTTATATAATTATCAAATTGTTTATTAGTGAATAATTATTTTAATAATATAAGTAATATTCACAAGCATTTACGTTTGGGATCAATCATTAATATCATTACTTTTGTACTTTTAATATATTTAGTTAGTTCTAAAATTTTTTTATCCAATCAATTTAATTTTGGTGAGGTAATACCATTTTTATAGAGATAAAAAATTTCGTTTTTTTAAGATTAAATATTGTGAATGTGTAGATATGTATGGTTTACTTTAATTCTTTATTTTTTTTCAATTTTTTCAATAGATTTTCCTTTAATGATTATAAATTATGGATAATTTATTAGTTTATTTTTACAATTTAACCAATTGATGAGTTTTGAAAGTCTTAAGGGATATTATTTTTGGTTTAGACATTAATTAATTTCGTGAAAATTCGCAAATTAAAAATGATTATACATAATCTCAGTGATTTATATATGTTAATTATTTGATGTATGTTAAAATTTAGGTTGAACTTAAGTTAATCAGTAATGAAGATTCTTAGATGGCGGTTAGAGAAAACATAATTATGTCTGTATATCTTAATAATTTCAAAAATATACTACTTTTTGATGATTAATATACCTTTTCAGTCTTTTTAAATATCTAATACTTTTAAAATCTATCAATTGACAAATAATAATAAAAGGTTATGAAAATATATTCAAGAATAGGGTAATTTAAAAATCATTCAATCTTGTGTTTTAACTTTGTAAGAATTTATGTTGCACTTCTTTAAGCAGATTAGAAACTTTTTTGCATTTACGGATGAGAGAGTTGTAATATACTCTTCATTTTTATAATATATATTTTAGTGATTTTAATAAATTCAATAAATATTGGCAATAAATATTAGAATTTATTGTTCCAATTAATAACTGATATCCCAAAATATTTTTAGAGATAAAATTAATTTTATTTTTAAATTCTTGATATATTTTTTTCTTATCTTTGCTATTGATTGTATCTTTTCCTATTATAAACTAAAAACTAATTAATTATATTGTAAAGCTAATCCCTGTTGTAAATTGTAATAAATTAAGTAAATCTATCATATAATATTATCGATCTTTATTTTAAACTGTTCTCTGTTTAGATTATTAATTTAATGTAGTGATAGCAGATTTGTGATATTAAAAATAAATAATCCCTAAACTAAACTGATCGTCTATGTTAATAATATTAAAATAAATGTGGTGTATATAAGAGTAAATATTAAGAGTGAAACTAATAAAAACAGAAATAAAAATAAATATTAGATATTGATTGTAATTATAATTGTTGTTTGATAAAGATCAAATCACATTTTCTATAAATCTTCTAAAAAGCAACATCCTTTAGATTTAAATAAAGGTTTCAAATCTTTTCCTTAATGGTTTATAAATTCTCCTTTTAGGATTAGTGTTCCTTATGCTTCCAATATTATTGATTAGGATATAATATGATATGAATAATTAGAGACTAAATAATAATAATTTAATAAATACCTGGCAGAAGATTGTTCTAAAAAAGTGGTGTTTTATATTAAGCAAGAATATTATTATAATTTTTGTCATCGAAAGAAATTTCATATCCATTCTTAACATTCCATAGACGGATAGAGTTATCATCACTACCAGAAGCTAATGTATTTCCATCAGGAGAGAAACAGACTGACATAACATAGTCACTATGACCATCTAATTTGGCTTTTTATTATCCTGTTTTGACATCCCATAGACGGATAGACTTATCAT